CTGCATCAAACTCCATAGTTCTTTCTCTGGATGTGGGTAGCATTTTCCATTATGAGATTTTTGGAGATGTCTTAGATCCTTGCATTGCTGAGAAGGGTTACGTCTATCAAAGTTAGTCATCATACAACGTGGCTGTTACTATGTACAACTTTCTCCTGGTTCTGTTCACTTCACTCAGCATCAGTCCATACAAGTCTTTCCAGGTTTTTCTAAAGTCCGTTTGCTCATTTCTTATAGTACTGTAGTTTTACATTACATTCATATACCACAACTTGTTCAGCCATTCCCCAGTTGATGGGCATGCCCTCAATTTCCAATTCTTTGCCACCATGGAAAGAGCTGCTATACATATTTTTTGTACATGTGGGTCCTTTTCCCATTTTTATGCTCTCTTTGGGTTACAGCCCTAGAAATGCTATTGCTGGGTCAAAGGGTATGCACATTTTTATAGCCCTTTGGGCATGGTTCCAGATTGTTGAACTGTATCTTGAAGGAAGAGAAAGATTCTATGAGGCTGTGAGGGAAGGAGGTTTGAATGGATTGCAATTTCTTTCTATGAAGGAAGTTCCCATGTCTTTAAAGTCCTTTCATCATTGTGTTAATCTTACCTCCCAGCTAGGGAGATAAACTTTAAAAATTTTTTAAATTGTGAATTTCACCAACACCCCCCCCCAAAAAAAACACAATCGCAAAGTATTTCCATATACAAAAACAGAATGAGGCAGCTAAGTTGGCACAGTGGATAGAGTTCTAGGCCTAGAGTCAGGAACACTCATCTTCCTAAGTTTTAATCCAGCCCCAGACACTTAGTAGCTGTGTGACCCTAGGCAAGTTGCTTCACCCTGTTTGCCTCAGTTTCCTCATCTATAAAATGAACTAGAGAAGGCAATGTCAAGCCATTTCATTACCCTGCCAAGAAAACCCCAAATGGGGTCATGAAAAGTTGGATATGACTGAAAATGACTATCATAATAGAATGGCAAAAGAATATTATATGTGAAATTTAATGTTAGTTTTGTAGAGCTTACTTTTTTTTTAAGTATACAATTTAATGTTTACTTTCAAAGCTACCCCACTTGCCTTTGCTTCCTTCTGAATTACTAGCGGTTGATTATGGGATTGTTTAGCATTCTAGATTGGATATAAATCATTTGTATTCTATTTGGAGTACAACATAAACCTGAAAGTACTTTTGAGTGAGCTGTTGCTTTTACATGTGATAGCTGATGGTAGTAGTGGTAGTGACAATTTAGACAATCCATGAACTTCTATTAGTTTGTATTCTTAGAAATGTTTTGTAGGAACATGGGATTTCAGGTTAGAAAGGTCTTTAGAGATCATCTAGGATAACCTATCTTTCCATAAATGAGGAAATTGAGAAGAGAAATGACTAAATCAAGGTCAAACAGCATTAGTTAGGATCTGAACTTAGGTCTTCTAACTTCCAATTCAGTGTTCTTTCAACAACACCGCATTGCCTCTTCACTGTGGTGTGCAAAATCAAATTAGTTTATCCATTAGAGACAAAAGTTACAATAGAAATTACCTTTGTGAAGCATAACTTTTAAATAAATCACCACAATCCACCAAAAAACACATATGATTTACTTGAATATTATAGAATGTAGCTTCCAGTGGTCTATGTAAATCAGCAAAACTAAAGTATGTATAAATCAGGTAAACGAGGTGAATGCAATGCCCAGTCTCAGTAAAGAGCCTTAGAAGAAAGTGCTCATTGAAGTGCTAAAGACTGAATCACTTTTCTGCCTTCTGCTGCTTGCTTAAATGGAAGAGGACTAAATTGGTAGGTTCCAATTTTTAATTTCTTTTTTTTTGAAAATTTTAAAAATTTTCCCTTAATGTTGGATTCTCAAACATGCTGGCACTGATGTGGTAGTCAGTAAATCAAAGAACTTAAATGGGCGAATGGTTCTTTATTTGACAGAAAATGTGCTAAAAAACTATAAAGCAGTTTTATGATAATATTAATAATCATAGTTCAAGCTGACATCTTGCTTATACCATATACCACAATAAATAAATTTTCAAAATGAATGAGAATGGAATATTAAAGAGTCATGCCATTTCAAAAAGTACGAGAAAATTAGAAGATGCCAGTTACTTTTGATAGCTAAGGTTGGGAAGAGAATCTTAAATAAGGGACAGAGGAGGTCACAGTAGGCAAAGTACATAATTTGTTTATATGCAATTTCTGAGAACTCTATTTGTATTATTTGGTGATATACATTGGGAAATGGCCTGTAGTATTCCATATTTTTGTTTTTCCCTATATATCTTGCTTATGAGACTCTGAGAGATAGATGATGTAATTTTTTTTACCTTTTTATCCCATTTAAATTGATTTTACTTGTGCAAAATCTTTTCATTGTCATGTAATCTAAGTTATTTATTTTCTCTTTTTAACTAACCCTTAATTACTTTGTCATCAACCGAAGCAGTGAAAGGTACCTGGTCTCTTTTAATTGTTTGTTTTTTTAAGGTATGGCCTTCAGTATACAAGTCATGTATCCATTTTGTGCTTACTTTAGTGTATGGTGCAATATGTTGATCTATACCTCATTTTTGCCAAACTGCATTCCAGTTTTCCTGGCAGTTCTTTTCAAAAAGTGAAGTCTTCCCTTTTTTAAATAATCATTTTTGTCACTGGTGATAGAAGAACCAGCACATTTAGACTCTAACTTCTCTGTCTCCGAAGTCTATATAAATAAATACAAATGATCTTAAGGATGATGACGTCAAGAAGAATGGAAAGACCAGGTATATAGAAAACCATGCTGAAATTGATATAATATTGAAAATATGGTGGATTTCTTTGGAAAATATGTTGAGAGAAAACAAAAGCATAGAAGGGAAAAACTCATGGACAGTAATTCCCAAAAGCTACATGACTGAGAACTATACCTGCTTTTTTATTTTTATAAACTCTTCATAAGGAATGATCTGTATATATATTGAGGGAACAGGAAAACTTTAGCATACAATTCTCTACAGCAGATTACATCTATATAATTCATGTTGGGTGGGTGTTGCACTGGATACTACAAAATCCTACTGTTGGTTATTTGTTTATGAAAAGCAGAATGCACCCATGAATGCTTTTCCTCCCAAAAGGAATTACTCCTGCAGATGTTACAATACAAGATTCCTTTAGAAACACATTATAAAAAAACTAAACTATTCATTGGCCCCCTGATCTTTAGCATCAAATGAGGCATGAAACAAGGAAACCTGTATTCCCTTAAGATGTTTGCCACTGTCACAAAACATGTCTTATGCAGAAGTTCAAATGTAAGGTGGAATCCCTCTAGGTCAGAGATTTTTAACCTTTTGTGTGTCATGGACCCTTTCACAATCGGGGGGGGGATCCACAGACCTAAAGTTAAGAATCACTGCTGTAAAAGGCAAAGTACAGTGCTTCTGTTTTTAGATTACATTGTACTTATTTCATCATTCCCTAGAACATCAAAGGGCATTCTCTTTGAGATTAATGATTACTGAAAGGAGATCAACCTAACCATTCATATAAGAAAAACTAAGTGAGTGAAAAATACCTGTTGTTTGGATTCTGAGCTGAGTGGCCAGTTTATTGAGTTAGTACGCAACAAACATAGTACAAATGGACAATGACTGTACAGAATTGAATAGGAGAGAGACAGAGAATGAGTTTGCAACTGTTATGTGATGTTTTTAATGATCCTAAGCCACATGTACCTAGTGCAAACTCCTTTTTTCAATGTGAGTGTCTCCCCATTGTCACTTTATGAATTTTAATCTTTGAAACACAAAAGTCTCTGAGGAATTACAGTTGTAAATCACCCAGAAGATAATGGAGAGATGCATAATGTGGGTGTGAGTAAGCTGTGATATTTTTCTAATCAGGATATAAGTTCAAGAAGAATATAAAAGATATCGTTGAGGAAATATATGATCAGAAAAGGATGTGGGCCAGTCATGTAATATGAGAAGATAGATAAAATGGACTGTCCAAGTGCTATATTGGTGTTCTTGGACTGTAAGAGACTTGAAGGCCTCCATCAGGTTGGGAGAATTTTCTCTAGAGATCTATGGAACACCCTGGAGGATACCTACATCAAGGAGACCATAGATCTGTTGGAGTATTGGAACGCTCCTATGTTCATGTATTCAGGACTTGATGGCTTCTAGTGTTCAATTCTGCATCTATGATTACTATTGTTATTGATAATTGAATTAGAAAGGTGAAAAGCAAAGTTCTTTGGAAAGTCTGAAGAGGAATGATGGTTACTGGCTTGGGAATCAAAGATGGATGACTTCATGGAGAGCTTGGCATGTTAGTTAAGATTTAAAACCTGAATGGGAATTTAGAAGTCAAAAGAGGAGTGAGATGGAAGCCAGGAAGGGAAAATATATGCGATCCGTTTTGGCTGAAAAGAGGAATTAGGGGCAGCTAGGTGGCGCAGTAGATAGAGCTCCAGCCTTAAAGTCAGGAGCATCTGAGTTCAAATCTGGCCTCAGACATTTGACAGACACTAGCTGTGTGACCCTGGGCAAGTGACTTAACCCTGATTGCCTCGCCAAAAAAAGAAAAAGAAAAGAAGAATTCGTAGAAGGAAATAATATGAGATAAAGTGGATAGAATAGTACTAGATTTTGGAGGGTCTTGGATGCCGGATAAAGGGCATTACTCAGTGGGTGTTTTAGGGTGCAATTGAACAGGAGTAACCAGATCCATGCATGAACAACATTAGTCTGATGGCAGTATAGCAGATACTGATTTATTAGTAATAAGTACATGCTACCTTACTTAAATATTCTATCCATGATCTAAAATGATAATTTTACCTTGTAACTATAAATTTGTTATCAACTCTCATTAATTTAAACTTTTTTACCATAATGTCTGAAACACAAAATCTATTAATACTTTTGGTATAGTGATTTTATAGAAATAATAATTTTTAATTTTAAAAATTCAATTTATATTTTTTTTCTTGTTGCAGGAGCTAGAGTTAATGCCAAAGACAGCAAATGGTTGACTCCTTTACACAGAGCAGTTGCATCTTGTAGTGAGGTATGAATTTTTTTTAGTAGCATAATTTTTGAAGAAATGATTACCTAGTGGCCATATTATCTCTAGCAAAAAGAATCATAAGAACCTACTTGGTTAAGCACCGATCTTCTCTCCACAAGTGGGAAAACTTTGAGTCTCTAGCATTCAGTGCAGTTACCCTTCTCCATACCCCCTTTATAAATGTGCTTGTTTGGTCAAGATCATTTCTCTCCTGGGGAATCCATTCTTCACAGCCCTCCAGGAAACCCTCAAGCTCCAAGGCCTAGTTTTGACCTATGAGGCCATACTACTTCTTATGATGGGATTAGATATTCATTTAATAATATAATTAAATAATGGTAACTGAGAAAGTACTAGTAAAGGGATAGTTGCAAGAAAATTTAAAAACAAGAAAGAGATGGCCTGTAACTTTCCTGTTCAAAGTTCTTCAATGATTCTGTTTCCTACTATGTCACGACTTTTTGCAAAATAATTCAGTTTGAGTTATGGAAAAAGCATCAGAAACCTTAAACTGTCACTAATTAACTTTGAGACCTTGACCAAGGTCAGTGACATCTTAGACGTTAGCATCCTCATCGCAAAATTAGGGGGATGAACTAGAATCTAGTATGGTCTCAAAGTTATATAATGCTTAGGGGTCTAGATTATAACAATAATAGATGCAGAGCATGATGCAGTAAAAATGTATCATGGATCTACTGTGTGTGAAGTACTTTGCTAAGCATTCAGGATGCAAAAATGAAAAAATATCGCAGTCCTTTTTCTTAAGAAACTTACATTTTGACTGGGAAAGTAGGGCATGCAGGAAGAAAAAAAAATACATACCACAGGATAGAAAATGACTAGAATGAAACAGGTGACTTTGAGCTAGAAGGAATCAGAGAGAGGTTTCATGGAGGAGTGATAGCATCTGGATAAAGACTTAGAGGAAGGAAACAAATTCTTCAGTTGTCAGAGCTAAGGATGAATGTGTGTTCCAGACTTTCCAGGAACATCAGAGCAAGATTAAACAATAGCTGTTGAGCCTGTTTATATAGGACATAGATTTCATGAAGGCCAGAATAGTATGTGAAAGAAATTTCTTTCTCCCTCTCTCCTCTCTTCTCCCTTTCCCTCCCCCTGTTTCCCTCTTCTTCCTTGTCTCCTCTCCTCTCTCTTTTCTCCCTCTCTCTCTCCTCTCTTTTCTTCTCTTTTCTTCCTCTCCCCTCTCCTCTCTTCTCTCCTTTCTCTTCTCTCTCTCTTCTCTCCCTCTCTACCTCTTTCTTCCCCTCTCTTTCTCCCCCTCTCCTTGCCCATTCTTCCTACATGTCCCTTAAATATCTCTAACCCAGCAATTCTAAAACCATCTCTTCGAAAATGTCCTCAGTCTACTTTAGTTTCCTGTGTGAAAAATGGGATTAATAATGGCATCTACCTTACCGGGTTGTTGTGAGCATCAAAAGAAATCATAGCTGTTAAGTGCTTAGCACAGACACGGTGTTGCACATGTGGACCCTGAATAAATGCTTACTCTTTTCTGACCTTTCTCATGGCTGACAGAAGACTATTTCTGAAGTATGAGTCTGATCATGTGTCATTTCTACATAATAATCTTAGAATCGTGGATTTAGAGAGACATTCTAGGTCCTCCCTCTAGTTCTCAAGACCTGCAGATGGTTTATTTTTCCAAGGTCCCACAGCGAGTGGCAGAGCTGGTCCTGAATCCAGCCCTCTGATTCAATACCAGGACAACTTCTGCTGTTGTTCCATGCTGCTGCCTCTTTCCTCTAGAATTAAACACAAGTTCCCTTCACTCTTCCTGCTTATTTCAGAGTCTAGTTCAGTCCAAACTGTCTTTGTTCCTGGTGTCCAAATGAGGCATTTCTGTGTGTTCCCCCCCACCTCTAGTCTTGAAATGTCTTTCCTTCCAAGGCTGAGTTCAGATGCTGCTTTCTGAGTGTTCTCTCCTTTGTCAGATCATCTTGTAATTTAATTATGAATGTACATGTTGAGTCCACCAAGTCCACTCTGTGAGGGCAGCAACTATTTTTTTTTCATTGTATCTAACTCCTAAATGCTTGCTTGTTGAATTGAATTTTGAGGAATAAAGGGAAACGATATAAGAGAACTAAGTTTGATTAAGGAATAGCTAAGAAAAACATAGGTCATTTGCTAAAGCAATTTTTAATTTTTTATGCCTATGAACAAGAATTAACAATAGGAATTACTCTGTTTTGGAGCAATCAGCAATCTGAAATATCAAGAGAGAAATCTTAGGTTACCTGAATAGTTAAGTCACATGTTTACATGATTGTCTATACCATGTTATCAAAAGAGCCTTCAGTTTGGGGGATTTGTTAAAGTATATTAATAAATAAGTTTTACTGTTATAAACTCCACAAGCACCTTTATATTTTAATATTATTTTTCTCAGTGGGTGTTGGTATATTTTTATAACTGCTCTATCCTTTTTCACTTAATTTTTGTTTACACAAATTTTTCAGGAAGCTGTCCAGGTATTGTTGAAGCATTCAGCAGATGTTAATGCTCGTGATAAAAATTGGCAAACTCCTTTACATATAGCTGCTGCAAACAAAGCTGTCCAGTGTGCTGAAGCTTTGGTTCCCCTCCTAAGCAATGTAAATGTGTCTGATAGAGCTGGCAGAACAGCTTTGCATCATGCAGCGTTCAGCGGACATGTGGAGGTACGCAATCAGTTATTTAGTGTTCTTTAAGAGTGATTTTTGTCTGTTAGGATGAAAAAAATTATTTGTATAATTAAAAATAGGAGAAAGTATTTTGGATTTCATTTTTCCTCTTACCCATAGCAAAGCCTTAAACTCTCATTCTAGCAGACATTTATATCTTAATTATCATTGTTTTAGAAGTTTTTTTTATTCAGCAATTATAGTCAGCTATGTTTAATCTATTTTAAATATAACTTTCAGCAGGGATTATGGAAGCTAAGTACCAGGTTGCTGTATTGCATTATTTCTTTTGTTTATTTTCCCCACTAATCAAAGAATCATAGAATTTTATAACTTGCAGGAAATTTAAATAAGATCAAGTCCAAGGTTTCAAGTTAATTTAAAAGCATTATTGAATTCATAATATCCCTTGGGGTAACTTGGTGGCACAATGGATAGAGCAGAGCTCTGGGCCCGGAATTAGGAAGATATGAGTTCAAATCCAGCCTCAGACATCTATTAGCTGTGTAACTCTGGGCAAGTGACTTCACTTCAGTTTGCCTCAGTTTCCTTTTCTGTAAAATGGGGTTTACCTCCCTGCCTTGTTGTGAGGATTAAATGAGATGATTGTAAAGTGGGCACACAGTAGGCACTTAATGTTTGTTTGCTTCCTTAGATGAGGCATTTTGTGTTTTCTTATTGAATGGGTGTAAGTAGTCCAATTATTTTCTTGTGGGGGCCCATGGGTTTTGTTTTTTTACATTAAAAAAGCAATTCTATACTCCCAAAAAGTTATTTGGGAACTTTTTCTAGTTTTGTCCTCTCGTTTTGAATATGAAGTAATTGAGGCCTGTAGGAGTGGAGGGCCTTGCCCACAGGCAGCTCCTTAGTGGCGTCATAGGGACTGAGAAGTGTCTCAATTTTATGCATTAATATGAAATTATGTTGTTTATTTATCTCAGATGGTCAATCTGCTGCTGTCTAGAGGTGCTAATATTAATGCATTTGATAAGAAGGACAGACGTGCTATTCATTGGGCAGCATATATGGGTATGTAATTTATTTCATTTTTGAGCTGTGTTTTATAAATCACACATTACAATTCTTGTGATTGAATGATTGACTAAATCATTTTTGTAGAAGTTATGGAAGAAATGAAAGAACAGGATATAGAGAGTAGTTATATATAGATTACACATAACATTATTGGGAGGCTGTGTCCAGTGCTATTTTGAATCATTGTGTTAATACGAAATGTTGAATATGAAGTGTATTTAATCCTCCCCTCCATCTTTTATCTGATCTGGTTTTGAGATCATTTCACCAATTGCTAGCCCACTGGTTGTACAGTCAGTCCTCAACTGTCATGGGGGTATCTTCCTAGAGAATGGTGAGAAAGTCAACAACACAGATGTTAATACATTGAACCTATGGGAAATAGGGGGATAGTCCCATGACCACCAAAACCTAATCTTTTGCTATATACTTTTTTTGCATACTTAACAATTCTTTGTAACAAAACATTAATTCTGATAATTGTACTTTCTCTTACATAATAGTCATGAAATAACCCATGAAATGCAGCACACAAAATAAAATTGGTAATATGCAAAGTTTTTTCTCACTAGTAATTCTCTAGATTTCTGTGACCTGTCGTGCTAACATCTCAGTTTTTAAAAACATTGCTTTCAGATAATATTCAGTTTTTATAACACATGAAATCTACAGTACCATAAATAGAGTGCAACAAATCAAATTCTTAAAACTAAAACATTTTTAACCTCAATCTTACTTTCCACTGGGTCAGATGTCAGCCATGAATGGGCACAGTTGCCAACATGAAAGTGAAAATGAGGTTACTAAGAAAATCACAGGAATGATTCTAGTCATATGAATGTTGGAAGATTAACTGGATTTTTATATGGATTTTTAGCCCTTTAAATCTAAATCTAGTCCAGTAATCAATTATTAAGCACCTACTATGGTGCCAGGCACTGTGCTAAGCACTGTCACAGTTCTGCTTCCTGGACAAATCATGTATTATAAACATATAATTTATTCTACTTTAAGTCATATTTTTTATCTTACACATTTATAACTATTCTTCTCATGAGCTGCAAACCTATTGGAGTTGACCAAAGTTAACTCAGAACTCACAGGAAATGTGATAAAGAACTAGCCTTCCAACTCAAGTCTTCCTCTCCTGATTCTGCTCTTGGAACATCAGCTATGCCTGCTTCCTTCTGACACTGCTACCATCTTATTGTATGCCCTCATTCCCTCACACTTGGACTAATATAGTAAACCTCTGGCTAGCTTCACTGTGCTTCAGTCTCTCCCCACCTCAGCTTTCAAAGTGGCACTGCTAAAAGACAGATCTGACCATGTCACTCCCCCTCTTCAATAACATCTGTGGCTCTCTGTTGTTTCCCAGATCAAATACGAAATCTTCTGTTTCACTTTTAAAGTACTTCATTAACTCGGCCCCTTCCTGCTTTTCTGGTCTCCTTGTTTCTGACTCTGCTCAACACTATCAGTGATTCCATGGCTGGCTTCTTTGATCTTCCTCACAGAAGACACTGTCATCTCTGGCCTCTGGGCCCTTTCCCTGGCTGTTCCCCATACTCGTAATACTCTCCTTCCTGATCTACATCTCCTGACTTTCCTGGCTTCCTTGAAGTATCCAATACCGTTTTCTTCAAGAAGCCTTGCCTGATACTCCTAAATGATAATTAATGCCTTTCATCTGTTGATTCTCCAGTTTATCCCTCATCTATCTTATTTGTGCATAGCTGTTGGCATATTGTCTTCCTCATTAAAATAGTTCCCTTCAGAGCAGAGGATGCCTTTTTGCCTATACTAACTAAAACCTCTGTTCAAAACTAGGGATCAGGAGATTGGTTTCAGTATAGTAACTTACCATAGAGTAGCTTTGGGGAGTGCACTGCAAAATTTAAAGTGTTGTTGTGTTAGTGTCTATGTTGTGGAGAAGTGGACAAAGAAATACCACCACCCCCCTCCTACGTGAGTGTGTGTGTGTGTGTGTGTGTGTCTGTCTGTCTGTACACATACATGGCATGTATGGAATGTGTATTTGGTGTGTATCAGCTATTAAGGGTGGCTGTCCCAAATAAATGGTAATATAGAAATGCTTTCATTTTTTAAAAAATTGAAGATGCCTGGTAAATGCAAATCATGTGAAAGAATGTGTAACTTAATCATAGTATACAAAGTCTTTCCTGCTCCAAGACAGCTTGGAGCTATTGACAAAAAGGGAAGGTGGGAAGCAGCAGTGAGCTGCCTCCAGTTGTTCTTTCCCAGAATAGCCAAGCACATGTAGCTCAGGGCCTCTGGGGTTGGTTTTTAGGGTTTGTGTTTTTTTTTTTGTCAGGTACAAGTATGGTGTAGGGAGCTTCATGCCTTCCAACTATTCTATTTATGCCCATTGGGAAAAAATTCATGACCCTCTCCCTCCTTTCACTTTTGATGCATTGAGCAAGATTAAGAATGACACAAAGTTTCCACAGGAGGAAGAAACAGAATGTAAGTTCTCTAATGACGCATCCTTGGAATAATGGCAACACATTTGAGTAGAGCATGGCCACCTTTACTTCTGTACTTGCACATCCAGTCCTATTACAGGCCCTCTTTAACTCCTGGCCATATTCTTTCATCATAATGTCACACCGTTCTGCGTCCCACCAGGCTCTTCTACTTTAGTCAGTCTTTTTTGTACTACTGAAGTGATTTTCCTTGTCCGGATCTGTATAGTGATTGCTTTGTCTTTTGTGTCTCCAGCCTAGGCTACCAGCTAGTTCCCAAGGCACGGTTCATTAGATACCTCCTGGCATCTCTCTTCCCCTCTGCTTTTCTCTTGCTCTTCCTCAGAGTTCTCTTACAGTGTTTCCCTCACATATTGCAAGTTATATTTTGAATTGTTTTAAGGAAAATTCCTCAGTGTCTTCCTTTAAATGAGAAGCCTTCCATAATATTGGGTCTGTGTAAGTCACTCAGGAAATGTTGGTGTGATTTAGAACTTTTTTCCCTTCTTATATTAAAAACCTTTTTTTAAAGTTCTGTTCTTAGTACAAACCCAACAAACATGAACATCTCAGCATATAAAGAAAAATGGGGGATATACATAAGACCAGGGCAGCTGGGTGGTGCAGTGAAGTGCTAGGCCTGATGTCAGAAAAGACTGATCTTCCTGAGCTCTAATAAAGAGTACCTGGAAATTTCTCCCCAGATAATGAATATCTCAGGATGGGGCTAGCCTATGGTACGATTTTGAAATAGATGGAGTTGCCTTTAGCACCCATAACCTCTTCTTCTCCTTGGCTCTTTCGTCCTTGGGGGTGTCTTTAAGTATCTGGCTTGATTTTTGAAGAATGAATGGGTGGAATGAGTCAGTCTGATCTAATGCCTGGAGAGCTGTGTTCAGGTTGCTTTGCCACTGACTATGGGACCCTCAATATAGTCATGTAGTTCCCAGAGTGGCAGGCAGCTCCAAGATGATGAGTTTCAGAGCAGATGTTGATGGGGCACTGGCCTGGAGTCAGGAAGACCCGAGTTTAAATCTGGCCTCAGACACTTACTAGTTGTGTGACCCTGGGCAAGTTACTTAACCTTGTTTGCCTCAATTTCCTCATTTGTCAAATGAGCTGGTGAAGGAAATGGTAAACCACTCCAGTATCTGTGCCAAGAAAACCCCAAATGGAATCACAAAGAGTGGGACATGACTGACAAATGACTGAACAATAACAACATAAAAACTAAATTTCTATTATATATACTGTTTCTTTTTTCTCATCGTGTATATCTTTTTTGTATAATTCAAATTTTGCTTGGTAGTTCTAATATAACTTTAATTGTCTCTTTCCCTTTCTGAATATCTTCTGCTCTCTTCTCATTTTTTAAAACCACTGATTGATGCTTTTCTTCCTTTAATTAAGTGAGTCCTTATCTGGGACTTAGCTGGGATATGTGTGTTTATTGAATACTGTGGTATTAGATATGTTTGCTTATGTATATTATGTATCTAATCTTTTCCACTGATTAATCTCTCTCTTATTTTTTAACCAGTATCAATTTGTTTTTATAATTACTGCTTTTTGTATGGTTTAAAATCTGGCACTGCTAGGCCCCCTTTTGTTTCCATTTCTTTTCATTATTTCTCCTGAGGCTCTTGATTTTTTTGCCTCCAAATGAATTTCATTATTTTTGCTGTTCAGTCATTTTAGTTCTGTCCCACCCTTCATGACACCATTTGGAGTTTTCTTGGCAAGGATACTGAAGTGGTTTGCCATTTCCTTCTCCAGATCATTTTAAAAATGAGGAAACTGAGGCAAACAGTGTTAAGTGACTGGCCCAGAGTCACACAGCTAGTAAGTGTCTGAGGCCAAATGGGAACGCATGAATTTCTGACTCCAAGTCCAGCATTTTTTACTGTACCATCTAGCTGCCTCTAATTTCATCATTACTTTTTCTAGTTCTATAAAGTAATCCTTAGCTTTTTTTGATTGGCATAACACTGAATAATAATCTAGGTAGTATTATAAATTTCATTATATAGGCTTGTCCTATCCATGCGTAATTAATATTTTGCCAGTCATTTCAGTCTTAGATTTGCAATTGTATTTACTAATAAATTCTATCAAACATTCAAAGAACAATTAATTACAATATTACATAAATTGTTTGCCAAAAAAAATAACAAAAGAAGGGATGCAACCAAATTCCTTTTATGACACAGATAGGATCCTGGTACATCAACTGCGAAGAGTCAAAACAGAAAAACAAAGCTATAGACCAATATTCCTAATGAACAAAGATGAAAAACATCTATTAGGTGCCTCCTATGTTATAAATATTAACAAGAGAGGTTAAAATAACAATGATGCAAGTTTGCTTTATACCATGAATTCAGGATTGGTTTGAAATTAGGAAAATTATAAATTCAGCCATAGTAATAAAAATCTAGAGAAATTTGATTACATCAGTACATATAGAAAAAGATTTTGATAAAATCAAATGTCCATTTCTGTTTAAAA